TGATTTTGTTTTTAATTATCTTAAGCCTTATCACATAATTTACAAACTTGTGCTGATGATATATCTTTTCATTTTTCACCCTTCTAACGAGTTGGCAAAAGCACCATTACCAATCATACATATATGGTAATTCCACAGTTGTGTCTTTGAATAGCTGTTTAGAAGACAATCCTGAATTATAACTTAGTCTGACTTAGTGAAGAATCCACAAGCCAAATCTGCTGCTATATCTTGTCGCACAGAATTTTAAAAGCATGTGACCTTACAGATCATCTATAAAATGTGAGAAGTGTTAAATATTCTTTATTGAATATTGTACATAAACCACACTAAAATGCCTTTCATTAAGCAAAAGGCAACATTTTAGATGCAGGGAATTTTAACCGCATTGGCATAGTTAAGACCAAAAAGATAAAGTGGACACTGCCAGCTTATCTTCAGCCCTTGCCTTTAACAGGCTATCAAACACAACTTGAAACACAGCTGAGTCTTGCTATTCTGAGACAGTGAAGGGATTTCCTCAGTATTTACATATATATTAATATAACCAGTTATATCAGTCTAAATATAAAACTAATCTTCTGTAAGTTTAGAGATGGCATTTACCATCTCTGTGAAAAGCTGACCATTACTAATCAATTGTAATCGAATCTCTGGAAGGGGAAAACAGTGACAGCACTTGCTGAACCAGAATTACTATCAAAGTTCAAAAAGCTGATCCTATTCATTTAACCACGAGCCCATCTTATTTAAATCGGGACTGTCCAAAAGAAATATTCTATCAGCCATTCATGATCCGAATTCTCGTGTATGAGATCAATTTAAATATGGTACACATAAGAAAAAGTCATGAGACATTTTTGTTTTGTAATAAGGCAGTGGCCAACTATTACTCCTTAGTAGCCCTTTTTGAGATAAGCTGTCAAGTCTGCTCTTTCTCCTGTCTTAATGCCAGTGAAGATCATTTTTGTTCATGGATGTACTTCTTGGGATTCTCCAAATACTCCATCAATGTCTCCTCTCCCCAGGCGATGTCTTTGTTCTTGTTGTTATCCGTGTAAGAAAATCCAGGGGACTGACATGTCTTTCGACCAAATAAACCATGAAGATTTGGGCCAATCTTGTGCTTGCCTCCCTTTTCCACGGTATGGCACTGGGCACACTTCTGAACAAAAATGTTCTTGCCCTTCTCAACATCACCCATTTTTAAGTCGCTCTTTTATCACATGCAAAACGATTCTGCCTGCTTGCAAGCCGGATGTCCCACTCTCTCAGAAATTATAGATTTCTTAAGTCCCTATAATGTAGTGTATTCCAGAAGTATCACTAAAGAAGTCTATGTTTTGGGATTATTTGTTTCACAGTAATAGAATCTCATCCAGATAATGCATTAGAGGATCTACGACTGGATAAGCCATTTCCTGAACTGAGAGAACATTTTCAGTCTTATGATTTGGATCATATGGAAAAAAAGGTTGGTAGTATGTATGACCTTCCATTTACAGATGGATTAAAAGATTTTTTTTTAACCTAAGGTTTTTGAATTACACCATAGTGAGAAAATATTATAAACATCCATATTCTTGTCATCCAGATTACATAGTAACAACATTGTACTTATTTTGTTTGAAATAAATTTGTTTTCCACCAAAATTTGGAAAGCTTTTTTTTTTGAAGAGCAGTTCATTAACTGAATATATCTGTGTGATCAACACCCACGTCAAGAAATTGGATAACATCCCAGCAGCCTTCTTCATGACCCTTTTGTAAACAATTAGATGTACTTTTTAAAATAGTGTGAATTTGGGGTGGGTGTTTGTTGAAATTAATTCCTCTTGAAAGTTATTTTTAGTGTTTGAAGAGTTACCAAAGCAACTCCATATTTCATTATAGAAATAATGATAGTTATAATAGACTATGTAACTTAGGGAGTATGTGGTTTTTTTCCTACCCATGTATTAATTAAAATGCAGGTATTTGACCAGAAAACAGAGTTTTCTCAGTCTAGGATTGGTATCTGAAATCAAGAGATGTGAGCTTTCTCTTCAGGTGGCAATCTCTGAGACTCTTTTCTTGACGGTAAAATGGGGACAGTCTTAGTACAAACCTGCCATATTAGGACTAAATTGGATATTGCTTCTAAAAAAAGTTTGTAAAGCCATTTTTTTTTTTAAAGATTTTATTTATTTATTTGAGAGAGAATGAGAGACAGCATGAGAGGGAAGAGGGTCAGAGGGAGAAGCAGACCCCCTGCCGAGCAGGGAGCCCGATGTGGGACTTGATCCCAGGACTCCAGGATCATGACCTGAGCCGAAGGCAGTCGTTCAACCAACTGAGCCACCCAGGCGCCCCTGTAAAGCCATTTTCATTAACGCAGTTCATTTCCCTCCATTCACTATACTACATATAGTGGGAGATGATCATAATTACTGTTGGATTTGTTGAAAATGAGATGATGTGATAAAGGCTAAATGTAAACTAATTAATGTTAACTAATACTGACATTTTCTTTGATTTTTCTTTCGTTTTTAGGACCATAGCCATACTCCATGGATTGTGATCGTAGCTAAATATTTAGCACAGTGGTATAGTGAAGTACGTCCTTTTTTAAAAACACAAATTCCATATGTGACTGTATTTTCAATTTATTATGAAGGATTTCATTGGAGGAAAGTGGGAGATTAATTCTTTTCTTTATATGGTTATAGAGGAGGTGGGTGCTTTTCTGTTTAAATCTGGTTTAAATCTTTTGATACTGATATTTTTATTAACAAAATGAAATATCAGTAAATGTCATTCTGAAACTGGCAGTGGGGAATGAATGTAGAGAAATGGCTCACAGTTTTTGTTTTCTTTCAAGTCAGTCTGATTTCACTGAGGTATTTGCTGATGAAATCTCATGTGGATGGGAGAATGGGGGAAACTTGGGACTCTCAGTTTCCATGTTTTGATTTTTTATAACTAGAATTTAAAAATTTCTAACCGATTTAGACAAATGGACGAATACCTAAAACGTATAAAGAAAAAGAAGACTTCAGAGATTTGATTAGACAAGGTAATATGATGGGATACAATTGAATGTTGTATAAAGTTTGAAAAGCAAATTGCTTGAAGCTGTTTGTTGGATTTCTGTCAGCTGCTTTGTCAGACAGTGCCATCATGAGCTTGTATTTTATTTTTTCTCAGGGGAGGTTTAGGAGCCACTCATCATACAGTTTTTTAAATAACTAATGATAGTTTCCTCATCTGTGAATGAGGAACTGGGTGCTGCTGATAACTACCTCGTGGGTTGTTGTGAGGATTCATTCATACAATAAAATGTGAAGTACACTTAGTAGTGTCTGATACAAAGTAAAAGCTTAACAAAGGTTAGCTGCTAATATTAATTAAAAAATGACTAATGATAAGCCTCTTT